CTTGAGGCCTGGAGCAAGAGCTTCCAGAGCCAGGTGCCACTAGTTGGCCTATGTTGAATAGATCACTGAGAAGTCTGAGTGGGTTTGTGTTGTCACCTTCTCCAGGGTTTCAGGCAAAGTTAAGAGGGTTGGGGCGGGGGTGTATCAGTGAAATCACACAGCAGGATGTGGCTACCCTGTGGGTGTGGCCTGACTCTCAGGGGTTGCCATAGTGGGGTATGTTAGGAGCAGCAAATGTATCATTTATTTGACTGTTTTCTCATGGAATCTGTTTTTGCAATATTGATGAGATATGTGAATATGTGAGATCCTGATTTTGGTCTATTAAATCCTAGACAAATAATATCTAAAGGAAAATGTTGAAAATGTAGCCAATTTTAAAACCCTTAAACTTTTAAAAAATGCAAATGTTTTGTATTTTTATATTTTTTAAAGTACGATAATGCTTTTTAAATGTATTGATTATGATGAAACTTGTAGTGTTTTGTTGCTTTTGTCTGATTTTATGAATGTTCATTTTAAGACTCGTTATTGAGATGGGACAATTTGGAAACGGTTCTTTGATATGCCTGAGAAGAGGACTTCCCTTTGGGCATTGAGCCTTCCTCTGCATGATGTTCCCATGCGCCCAGGGGTGTTTTCCCTTTCCAAGTGGACTCCCTCATGGAAGGAGAAGGGCCAGGCCCTGAGCACCTCTTCGAGGAAAAGGGATGCAAGAGGACGGCTTGTCTCAGAAGAGCCCTCGCAGGCTGCCTGCTCAGCCCATTCATTTGAGTTTGCATGTTTCTCTGCACTATGGATTTTGAGCATTTAGATTTCTTTCATCAAGTACATTTCAACCACTACAGTAGACATTTTCTCTCTGAGGCATTGTGCTTTGCACGAGAACAGCCAGAAGTTGAGGGAAAAGTAAAGTTAAAGTCGGTTCTCTTTCATAGCAACATGTGTTGTCTGACATTCAGCCAGCTTTTTAGATTTTTTTTTCCAGTAATTTCCCTGTTTTCCTGTACTCACAAAAAGCAGCTAGAATGTCTCTCCAGGAATCCTGAGCCTCACAGGACTGTGTAGCTCTAAGCCTAGGAGTAGACTGCGTAGAGTAGTGATCGTATCTAGATGATGCACACGGGTATCCTGGGGATGCCCGGAGCGTTGCAGTCTTTCCTGCATTTGGTTTTCAGGAATTACATGAATGACAGCCTTCGCACAGATGTCTTCGTGAGGTTCCAGCCTGAGAGCATCGCCTGTGCCTGCATTTATCTTGCTGCCCGGACACTGGAGGTCAGTGTTGCGCCACCACAGGGCATCCTGGTCTGATTCTTTCTCCAGCCTCCAGGAAACTTGTGCGTAGTGTTCTTCAGATTGTGCTCATCAATGCCAATGAAAGCCTGTCTCTTGGTGACCAGCAAGGCTTTGTTTTTTATTGCCCTAAGAATCTTGTTGGCCAAAAAAGAAAGTATTAACAGTGATGGCATTTGTGTTTACAGATCCCTTTGCCCAATCGTCCCCATTGGTTTCTTTTGTTTGGAGCAACTGAAGACGAAATTCAGGAAATCTGCTTAAAAATCCTGCAGCTTTATACTCGGAAAAAGGTTCTATGTTTTTTCATGTAATATATGCATTTGTGTTTAACCAGAAACATCTGGTCTTGAATTTCTTTGGATTCTGACTCCCATAGGTTGATCTTACACACCTTGAAAGTGAAGTCGAGAAGAGAAGGCACGCCATTGAAGAGGCCAAGGCACAAGCTAAGGGCCTGCTGCCTGCTGGCACCCAGGTTCTGGACAGCACTTCAGGGTTCTCACCTGCCCCCAAGCTGGGTGAGTGTGAGGGTGTGTGGCCCTCCTTTTCTCCAGATTTCTCTTGGAACTGTGTCTGCTGCTGGCCTGAGCTCTCTGCAGGCACCAGGGTCCCCAGCGGACATTTGTTGATTTTTGAAGTGAGAAGGTCACTCCTAAAGGAGTTTTCATCGTTTTTTTGTTTTCTTTCCCTAAGATTTTATTTATTCATTTGAGAGCATGCGCGCAAGTGTGCACGAGTGGGGTGGGGAGGAGGGGCGGAGGGAGAGGGAGAAGCAGATTCCCCGCTGAGCAGGGAGCCCAACATGGGGCTTGATACCAGGATCCCCGAGATCATGACCCTAGCTGAAGGCAGACACTTAACCGGCTGAACCACCCAGGTGCCCCAATATTTTAAGTAGTCTCTACACCCAGTGTGGAGCTCAAACTTAAAACCCTGAGATCAAGAATTGCATACTCCACCAACTGAGCCAGCTAGGCACCCATTGTTTTTATATTTTCATTAGTGAGGGACGTGGACAAGCTTTTCAAAATGCTTTTTGTTTTTTTTTAACCCAGCTCACCTAATTAGCTTGTCTTCTGATGAAAATTTTATAAGTCTAGGGTAGTAGATTGTGTTTTTTGGGTCATGTTAGAACTAAGCATGATGCACATCCCCAGTCCCTCAAGGAAGGCAAGTGAGACAGGTGGCTTTTCTGTGTCTTTCGGGTGCATGTTTAGGTTCTGAGTCCCAGGCCGGGAACAGGGAGTCTCCGTAAATCCCATAGAAGTGGTATTGCCTTGCTCTGCTAATGTGTTTTCTCTCAGAACAGTTTTCCTGGTGGTGAGGTTTTAACTTCTTGTATTTGATTCTAGCAGAATCCCCTAAAGAAGGTAAAGGAAACAAGCCTTCCCCGCTCTCTGTGAAGAACGCCAAGAGGAAAATGGAGGGCGTGAAGAAAGTTAAGGCTGACAGCCCGGTGAATGGGTGAGTACCCAAGCGCCCCAGCTGGCCTTTGGAGTTGGCTGGAGAGACTTGAAGCCTGTAACTGCTCCCACCATTTGTTCTCAGCTTGCCAAAGGGGCGAGGGAGTCGAAGTAGGAGTGGAAGTCGTGAGCAGAGCTACTCAAGGTCCCCATCGCGATCTGCTTCTCCTAAGAGGAGGTGTGTGCTGATCAGGGCTCATGGGGGGCCGGCGCGGGGTGCTGCACCTGGCAAGGGATATTTTCCCCAGGGTGGCTATTGGTGGTGTGGCTGCCCCTCACAGGAAAGTCACTCCTGACCCTCTCAGGTGGTGGGGTGAGTGGTCACCTGTTTGGTGGTGCTGTCCTTCCTCACAGAAAAAGTGACAGTGGCTCCACGTCTGGCGGGTCCAAGTCGCAGAGCCGTTCACGGAGCAGGAGTGACTCCCCTCCTAGACAGGTGCACAGAGGTGTTCCGTACAAAAGCTCCAAGGTGAGGAGCTACCGGAAGTCTAAGGACTGCAAGTACCCCACCCAGAAGCCACACAAGTCCCGGAGTCGGAGCTCCTCTCGGTCTCGAAGCCGCTCACGGGAGCGGGCGGATAGTTCCGGGAAATATAAGAAAAAAAGTCATTACTATAGAGATCAGCGAAGGGAGCGTTCTCGGTCGTACGAGCGCACGAGCCATCGCTATGAGCGGGATCACCCTGGGCACAGCAGGCATCGGAGGTGAGGCGCTGGGCTCCCAGAGTGCTGCCCTTTGCTCCTCGGTGTGCACCCGTGGCATGACTGGCCCTGTGGTGCAGCTCTTTTTGGAAATGGCTGTTGGCTCTGGACCTTGTGATGCATTTGGAGATGGACTCAAGAGGCCGGCGAGGTGCCCTTCAGGCCGGCCTGGGCACGGCGCGTACACTCGTGTCAGCACAGGGCCCGCCTCGGCAGCAGCCCTGTGGCAGCTTGATGTGGAAGCAGATGTGTACGTCCTGGTGGTGTGGCTTGGTGCTAACGACAGGCCGTCTTTACTCGATTACGTTAAACCAAGAAAATGACTTTTAGAACCTTTGCCTATATTAGGTTGTACTTATGTACATATTTTGCAGTGTTTCACAATGAGAAAATGGCCTTAATAGCCCCTTATTCTCTATTCGCCCTGTAAATAAACATGTGTTTAATACAAGTTAAAGCTATATATGAAAATTCAGAACTTGAATTCTGTCGGCTTAAAACTTGTGTAGAGAATTCTGATTTTTAAAATGTGAAGGTATTTAGATCTGTGTTGAAAGTCGTATATTTTTATCTGTGCGATGCTGAGTGCAGGCCACCAGCTCCCAAATAGAGAAGTTTCCTATATATGCATTTTACGTGGTTAAATAAACACAATTCTCTCTACTCAGGACATTTGGAACGTTCCAGAATGTGTAGTTTGTCGTTCTGCTCGCTTGTTCCTGTGCACGGCCTGCAGTCCCCGTTCTAGTGGTCTGTCTGCACTGCTGGCCCTGATCTCATTACAGTGTTGGCTTTTGTATCGAGCCCTGTGCGGCTGCTCTTCCATGGCCGGCTAGCCTTGAAGAGCCTGGGCCAAAGGCCGCTTCCTGCGGGGGCGCGGAGGGCGGGCGGGGAAAGGACAGAATGGGTCCGAGGGGCAGCCTGGGTGTGTCGGGCGGGCTGGCGGCTAGCGGGAGGGCAGCTGGAGCGCCGGCCCTGGGGGCTGGGCGCCCCTGGGAGTGGGGGCTGGGCCGGCGCAGCCCGGGCGGTGGGGCTGTGAGCGCGGCGGGGCCAGCACCTGGGGCCCAGGGGGCTCGCGGGCACCTCAGAGACCTTGCTACTTGGGAAGCCGAGCGAGCGGCACCTCCTGGAAGGCCGCGGGGCAGAGGGTCCACTGTCCTTGCCGACTCAGACCGAGGTGCTGGTGGTTTCCGGGAGTTCCGCGCACACACAGGCACAGGAGGGGAGCTCGTCGGCTTTCAAACGCGCTGCGTTCACGCACCACCCGCGCCTCCTGCGGGACTCCTGCCCAGCCCCCGTGGACGCAGTGGCTCCGGCCGCTTCCGTCGCCCCGAGAACTCTATTTCCGCCGCTGGTCTAACGCCACTTCCGCCCGCCTTGGACGACTAGCCACTGGTTGGTCGGGACGTGATGTGGTCCAGGGCATCCCTTAGGATTGTGGGAAATGTAGTTTTCTCGCCGCCGTCAGGGAGGGCCGGGCCTGCGGGCTGTGGGCGGGGTGGGCCGCTCCTCTGGCCGGAAACGGCTGCTTTCTGGGCCGGGCGGGACCTGCGCCGACGCGGAGTCGGATGCCGTGAGGGCGCCAGGGGGCGCCGGGAGTGGGTACCGCCGGGCGGCCGCACGCGGGACTGGGGGCTGGTTTGGGGACGGACCGGAAGTGCCTAAACTGGGCGACAGAGTGGTCAGTTTCAGTCACCCGGCTTAGGTCTGGGGAGGGTCGGTGCGAGGCCGCGGCTGCAGGGGGACGGCGGTCGGGTGAGGCTGGGGCCGGACGGGGACCGCGGCTGCCGTGCGCCAGTCCCGGCCTTCCGCGCCCTCGAGCGTCGGCTCCGCCCGGGTGGTGGGTCCCTGGGCTGGAGCTGAGGCTCGGGGAGGGGTGGGCGACTGCTCAGAGGGGCGCAGCCGCGGAGCGGCGGACGAGGGGCTCGCGCCTCAGTCTGGTCGCTGGAGGGAGTGAGCCCCGTGTGGTGGGAGAGGGTGATGAGGGTGATGGGTTGTGCGAGTCCTGGCGTCCCCGGGGCTGCTGCACGCGCCCCCCGGCCACTCCCGCGTGACCGCCACGCGCACCTGTATTGCAGCCGCTCTGAGCACCTGGGGCCGCCACCACCCGCGGACCATGTTCCTGGTGCGCCTGACGTCTCGGCTGCTGAGGGCTGTTCCTCGCGCAGGTAAGAGGCCCCGTGGGGGCAAGGCAGGTGGGCAGGGTGCACACCGGGTTAGGAATGTGGGGTAAGTAATCCCAACGGCCCCCACCTGCCAGCTGGAGGCGGGGGCCTGGCCACACAAACTCCTTGTAAACATCCAAGTAGCCAAAAGGGAAAGTCCGGGCCTGAGAACATCAGCCTGAATTCCCGCTGGGATAAGGTGCGGGTCGTCCTGGTCCGTGATGACCGCTCTGCTCCCCAGTGGGGGAGGGGGCATTGGCTGTGCTCAGCCCTGGCGTAGCTGCTTGGGTGGTAACTGCTGTCTGGTTTCCTGCAGGTTGCGGTCGGCCGTGGCCTATCTCAGGGGTCCTAGGCAGGCCTTGCTACAGCACACGGCCAACAGGCCCAAGTGGAGTTGCCTCCGTCCCTGGCAAGGGGCTCCAGCTGGAGCTTGAGGAGATGCTGGTCCCCAGGAAGATGTCCATCAGTCCTCTGGAGAGCTGGCTGACCGCCCACTACCTCCTACCCAGACTAGATGCCAGGACCCCAGGGACCGTGGCACCATCTCAGCTCTATGAGTGTCCACCTAGCCAAGTGGAAGGGGCTGAGCAGGGGATGGAGGAGGTCTGGGATGCACCCCAGGTGCAGTGCAAAAACATACTGAAGATTCGCCGGCGGAAGATGAATCATCACAAGTACCGTAAACTGGTCAAGAGGACCCGGTTCCTGCGGCGGAAGGTCCGCGAAGGACGCCTGAAACGGAAGCAGGTAAGTGTGGGGGGTGGGCCTCTCAGCCTAGGGTGGGGCAAGGCGGCTGCAAATGTGTGACTGTGCCACAGACCAGTCAGTGGTCCCTCCTGTGCCCTTGCAGATCAAGTTCGAGAGAGACCTGAGGCGCATCTGGCTGAAGGCGGGCCTGAAGGAAGCCCCTGCGGGCTGGCAGACCCCCAAGATCTACTTGAAAGGCAAATGAGTCCAGTGCTCCTCTCCCCCACCCCTGTTGCTGCTGATGACCCACTGTAATAAATGTTTAGGAACTTAGCTGTCCCCGGGTGACCTGGCCCCTCTGCGGCCTAGCGTGAGCTATCTTGGGATTGAGCTGGTGCCAACCTCTGGTTTTCTGGGAGGCACAAGGGCCCCGGGGTGCAGATCGGGGTCCCTTTCCCGAGAGGGCCCTTGTCCTGGTGCCAAGTCCACAGGAACGACAGCCTCCCTATTTGTGAATGTCTGATGCTACAACAGCTGCAAACAGAGGCCCAGGTCTGCCCTTTAGGCACTTGGACTCCACTGCAGGAGGCAGACTCTAAACACGCTGATGGCAAAAGTACCAAGGGACAAGGCTGGGGGGTTAGGGAGTGCCCAGATTGAGTTGGGGGTATGATTACAATGTGAGAGGGGACAGGGAGGGCCTCATGGGGAAGACTGGGGAGGGGGGCAGGCTCTGCCCCCAGAGATGATGGACGGTGCCCTGCAGTCCCCACAGACCTGGGCCTCAAGTGGCTCTCTGAGCTGTCCTGCTCTGCTAGGGCTGGGGGCCCCTGGTCTCCTTTGGCTTCCTTGGCCTCTGCCACCTTATGGGACGCTGAGTGGGGCTAATCAGGAAAGGATGGCTGGGAGGGTGTGCTCTGGCAGGGTTGGGGGTGGCTGAGAAAGTGGTGCTGTTTATGGAACTGGAGAAACTTTGGAGCCTTGGCGTGAGCCAGTGGACCACTGCATCCAGGCTTGGCGAGGGCTGGGCTGCAGGCAGGGGAGCTTGGTCGGAGTGCCATGAATATGGCAGACGCTACTCTGCTCAGCCTCTGCCCTGCTCTCTGACGGCTGACTTAGAGGATAGGAAAAGTGGTGCATCTTTCCTGAGCCGTCCAGTAGAGACACGCGTGATGCTGGTGTCCTCCCTCGATCCCCTCCACCCCGTTAAGGGCAACACCACGTCTCAGCAGGCTGTGGGGATTTCTTGCCTTGTCACAGAAATGTGTCTGGGAGTGGGGTTGAGTTCTCTGCAAATCAGGCAGATCTTGGGGAGGGCTGGAGCAGGGCTTACCCAGCAGCTTCTCTGGAATGGCACAGACCACATTGTGTTGCTCACCCCACGTTCTTTCGGTGCGCCAGGCGGGCCCCTGCCCTGTGCATGGCAGCCAGCCAGCTAGGTAAGCAGGGTTCTAACCACGGGGCCGGTCTGAGTCCCTGCCCATTAGGGGACACAGCCCACGGAGGTGCTGGGTGTGGTGGAGGAGGGTGATGCTGGCCATGACCTGGGGGGGCACCTGACACCATTGAGGGTGCAGGCCTGCTTCCACATGTGGCTGCAAGGGGGCAGCAGTTGGGCTCCCAGCAGCCCCTGGGGTTGGGGCTGAGGACCAGGACAGCCAGAGCACCCTGCCAGCCCAGTCACCTGGGAGGGCACAGGGAGCCCCTGGGAGGCCCCCAGCTGGGGTCACAGTCATCCTTCCTGGGTCTTGGTCTCCCCATCTGGGGGTGGGGCGGGGGCAGAGGCGCCAGGGCCCAGTGGTGGAGCCTGCTGGGGTGGAGTGGACCGTGACCTGTTAGTACCAAGGCTGGCCTCCGCTCCACCTGGCCTCTCAGCTGGGCCTCTGTCTGCCGCTGTTGCCCTTGGCCGGTGCCTGTGGCTGCCGGGTAGCCGCTCCCGTATCTCCTCCCAGTCCTGTCGCAGTAGCTGCCCCGCGGCTCACTCCACCCTTCCCTGGTGGCTGAGAGGAGCAATGGGGTGCTGAGTTGATCTGCCATCTGGAAGCAGAGCCGCTGTCGGGAGCTTGGCTGGGCAGCGAATCCGGGAGGTATGACTGGCTGGCCTGTGCAGGAAGCCACAGACCCACACTCCTGGAGGCTGGCAGCTGGCAGAGCCCCACAGGGCCCTTGCTCCAACTTCTTCCACCGGGGTGGGTGCCAGCTTGGGGGGTCCCTGGAGGTAGGGCCCCTGGCCACATCTGGAGACATTTTTAGTTGTCTCAGTGGGGGGGTCCCACTGACCACAGTGGGCGGAGGCTGGGAATGCAGCTGTACGTGCCCCATAACGCACAGGGAAGCCGACACCTGAAATGAGTTGCCCCAGACCTCGGTGGTACTACGGTTGAGATCTCTGCTGCAGATGTCACTGATCCTGTGGTGTCTGGTCCTGAGGCAGCCCGACCCCCACTCCCTTCTTTGTGCAGAGCTCGTCCTGCCTGTGGCTTGGATGTATCTGGGCCCCAACCACGACTGCAGGAGGCAATTGTGTGAAGCAATTGTGTGGAAGCAGATGTGCTTTTATTTTTATCTCTGCAGTTCCTCCCAGGCTATAAGAAACTGCCCTTCCCTCTTCCCTATGGGGCCTCCACCCTGCCCCCCAGCCTGTGGGATGAGCAGCCCCTTTTCCCTGCTGGCCCCGGGCGCCCCCACAGTGAAAGGACAGAGGCAGGAGGGGTGTGGCAGAGTGCCCTGCTGGCATCGCGTAGGACTTGGGTTCTGGCCGGAGGGGGCCCCAGCCAGGGCCAGAGCTACTGGGGGTGTTCTTGGGCCCTTGCTGGGGGCCCTGCCTCTTGGGCCCGATGTGGAGGCATCTCTGAGCTCAGTCCCTGTGCCTTGTCCCTCTGCCGCTCCGTGCCAGCCAGTGTCTTCTGGCCTGGGTGTTCCTGGCCATACAGTGGGCCAAGGAAGGGGCCAGGCAGGCTCTCCAGGCAAGGGAGGATGCTGAGGCTGGATGCTGGGTCCTGGGAGGGGCTGGTTGTGGCCTGCCTACGGGAGATGCGCAGGACACAGCATGTGAGCTGTGAACGGCTGCACACCCTGTTGTCCAAGGAGTATGCAGGCTGGGGAGGGTGACAGAAGCTGGAGAAAGAAGCCTGCTCCCCAGGCCTGGCCACGGCCAGCTGAGCTCACAGAGAAGCTGGAACCTGGGTGGGCAGGGGTGGGAGGGAATCTTCCTCTCTAGGGCTGAGTTGTGGGAAAAGCCCTCCAAGGGCTCTTGAGCTGTGGCCCCTGGGATAGGGCTGAGGAGTCCAGAGCTGGGTCTGGAGTTAGCCTCAGGGTGGGGGCCAGTGGATGACACCCCCGTCACCTGGCTGCACGCCCAGAGGCCAGCCCATGCGCCCGTCAAATTCTGTCCCTTGCTGACCTCAGCCTCAGGGCCATTTGGATTCTTAGGTAAGACTTGGGTTCTGGCCAGAGGGGGATTGGGTCACATGACAGCTGAGTGCTAGGGCTGGGACTAGAGTCCAGGCTGAGACCTGGACACTTCCAGGGGGTTGGGGGGCTTCTGAACAGTGTCTGGAGGCTTGGGGTTCTCTTTAGGATGTGGGGTGGCCAATGTGTGTCTGTGTGTATGTTGAGGACCACTCCTGGATGCACAGGGGAGGGAAGCCCTGAACACTCCCAGGTGACCTGTGGGGTAGGGGCATGGCTCTGGGAATGTGGGGGGGCAATGGCAGGGCTGTCAGGGCTCCCTGAGGCCGAGGTGTGGGGAGGCCTCAGGCTGGGCACAAGCTTGTGCCAACTCCTAGAGAACCTCCAAAATGTGGCCAAGACCAGGTGGCATTAACAGCACATGCATCTTGTAGAGTGTAAATTGTAGAGTATACTTGTCCCAGCAAATTTGGGAACACAGGGTTCAGCTACAACTGGACATGTGAGTGCCCTGTGACCTGGCACCGTGTGCCCCACATCCTTGCCCACCCCGGGCTGGCCTCACGCTGCTGTGGACAGTCTGGTCCAGGAGGAAACTGATCAGCCCAGAGTCCTGCTGAGCAGAGCTGGCCGACCTCCAGGATCTGCTGTGGGTGGAGGGGGCCTCTGAGGCCACCAAGACCCTCGCATGGACAGGGGTCTCCTGCCCCCCGTCTGTCCCAGCTGAGGTGGGTCCGGTAACCACAGGGTCCTCTGGGCTCAGACACGGGCCCTTCCCTCTGCACCCAGACAAGGGGGGCTGGGGGGGGATGCACTCTGGGCCCCTCCGCTCCTCCAAGGGGAGCCCATTCACTTTGATTGGTCCTGTTGGTTGCATTACTTTGTATTTACAGTTAAATTTTTATTTTTTAACTTTACAGCCAAGTAAGATTGTAGCTCCATGTGATGTTGATGCAAAGCTAATAACAAAACAGCAGCTCTGCCTCAGCCAGTGGAGTCCGTCACAGAGGTGGTGCCCGCAGCTTCTGCAGAGGACTCCTGTGCCCCCGGGTGTGGCCCGCCATGGCCTCTGGGCTCAGCAAGATCACACTTCCTTTCTCATACAACTGTTTGTTTTCCTGTTTTGTTTTTGCATGTTTGGTTTTTTTTAATCTATCAAAATTCAGCCCCAGACTTGGGGTTTGGTTCAGTTTCTCAAATGATTCTCCTGCTGTCCCCTGTCTGGGCTGCCCTGGGCCCCACCCGCTGGGTCCTGTTTCTGGGTCACCATGTTCTCCTCTTGCGCAGTCTTCTCCCTTCTTTTCGTGGGTACATTTTTTCTTTTCTTTTTTTTTTGAAGATTTTATATATTTATTTGACGGAGAGAGACATAGTGAGAGCAGGAACATAAGCAGGGGGAGGGGGAGAGGGAGAAGCAGGCCTCCCGCGGAGCAGGGAGCCCGATGCGGGGCTCGATCCCAGCACCCTGGGATCATGACTTGAGCCGAAGACAGACGCTTAACGACTGAGTCACCCAGGCGCCCCTCTTTTGTTTTTTTAAAGATTTACTTATTAGAGAGAGAACGACGGGGTGGAGGGGCAAAGGGAGAGAATCTCAAGCAGACTCCCCACTGAGTGCAGGGCCTCGATCCCATGACCCTGAGATCATGACCTGAGCTGAAACCAAGAGTCGGATGCTCAACTGACTGAGCCTCCAGGTGCCCCTCATGGAATGTTTTTCCGAGAAAGGGCGCACGGGAGCTAGAGGGTAGAATAAGGACTAATTGATGTGCGTGAGTGGATTCCCTGCACCACAGGTGTTGTGCTGGGTTCCTTACAGGAGTGACTTCATTTCCCAGCAAATCTACGATCAGCTTCCAGAGGGGACCTTGCCTGCTGTCATGTAGGTAAAAAGCCATTCATGATTCAGCTACAAGTCTGTC